AAATTGACATATATCTTCTGCACAAATATGCATTATGCTGCACACTAGTAGTAAATAAATATTTCAACAAACATCTATACAACTATGACCTGACAAACACATTCTTAATCTCCCACAAAAAGGCTTGTTTTATTTAAGACCTAATTGCCTTTCCAGATTGTCCACACCTAGGACTTTCCCATCTGGCTAACACCCCCCAGAGGGCAGGAAAGTGACAGGCACTGTGAAGAATGTCTCACCCGTGTAACGGACGGAGCAGGGCTCTCACCTCAAGCCACAGTAACTTTCAGAGCATACAGCTGAGTCAATGACTCACATTTCTATTTAATTATTCAACCAAGGAACATGAATGAACTGGACACTCCATTAATAACTGTAGTAGTGAGAGGATTCTTTCACCCAAAAAGACCAATAAAACATTACGGCAATTTATTTGACCATTACCAAACACTTACACAGTACAGAGTTACCTGACCAGGAGAGGGTGTGTGTTTGTGTGTGTGTGTGTGTGTTGGGGGCGCCAGTCCATCACGCTCTTTGTGCAACTTACAGACAGGTAAGAGGAAAGCAGAGTACCTGGTGGAAACCTGTGGGGGTCACACCCAAACGCTGCACAAAGGCAAGACTCGAACCAGCAACCCTGGCGCTGTGAAGCACAGGGGCTGACCTGCCCCACCCTGCCATGCCAGCCCTCATTGACTTATCTTTGCTCACAAATTGAACATCAAAGGCCTTCAGAGGCTTACAGACAGACTGTTAGTGAAAGCCTAAAACCAACATTCTAAAAGCGAAACGGAAGCACTTTCTAGGTGTTCCTGTTATTTCTGGTCAGTGGGTGTGTTGGACTTCACTAGAATGTTGCTTGGTGCGGCTATTTTTAGCATTCTGCATAACAACAACTGCAGTTGAAGATTATCTTTGACTAGCACCAGAATAACCTTGTGCTTGAGAGTATTCAGTTCTTAACACACATTAATATCCAAAAATAAGCATTCAAAATATCAGAACACACATGCTTCTTGAATTAGCATTATTGATAATAGAACATTTAAAAATGTGCTATAAAGCAATGTAATAACTTCAAAAATCTTTCCGAACAACTTAAAATAATTCACATAAAAGTATAAGTGCAGCACTGAATAAAAACAGTCCTGAGATCAAACCTACTTTTTCATGTGCAAAATTAAAAATTAGAGCAAAATCAACGTTTGAAAGACTACAGTTGGATAAGACAACTCAGCACCACATAATACATACTGCTCCAAGCTCTACTTCCTCTTTTGCTGGAGAAATACTAGACCTCATTTTTCAACTCTATAAGATATATTTCCCCTCTAAACAATTCTCTAAAACTTCAGTTCAGAAAAAGAGATTCAGAGATATCTGATTCACATGAGGAATCATTTTATACTGAGCTGACTGGACAGATGGGGGTCAGGATTTTAAACAGCTCAGGTTGCGCCATAACCTAATTTTACGATAAAAAATGTCACCATAAGTAGCAAGTCCCAAATTTTTCACACTGACTTTCATTTTCTCTCAGTTGTTGAGAAAAGGGCAGCCTCTTTCCTCACACAACAGCGGACAACAAACAGCTCCATGTTTCGCGCCATCGTACTCCGTCAGCACCGCCGCGAAAGCAAAGGCGCAACGACGCGGCTTGACGGCTCGCCATGATGCCACTGTCAGTACCGCGGTTTGCGAGGAGGTAACAAGCGCGAGATAAAAAGACTGAGCTGGAAAAGCAGTCAGTTGGAAGAATGACTAAAACAGACGGACTGACCAAGGCAGACGGACCAAAACCTCAAGATATTCAAATTGCAGGTTGCGTTTGCCAACCATAAGACCGATCTTGGAGCCGCAGCATTCCACCTAAAAGGCAATGAGTCCTGGTCAACCACTACAGTCGAATGATTAACCAGAGGACTGTTTTTTGCTTCAGATATCCGATTCCTCTGAATTCACTATAATCCACACGGAGAGGATGTGTGACAGAGTGGCTTCACCAAGGACACCTTGCACATTCTAAACTCCCAGGTGAAGAACAGAAGCCATAGAGATCTCAACCTTGCATGTTCGGTACCACAGCTTTGTGGCTGGTTACATTATATCCATCCATCTTCCCACCACTTATCAAACAGGCACCGAAAATAAAAATAAAATTATGCATTGATCCATCCATCACCTGCTTATCTTGTCAGGATTGTGACAGGATCTGGAGTTTATGCTAAGTACTAGGGATGCTCATTTCGATTAATTTTCCCAACCGACAACCGGCGTTTGTTAACCGAACATTAACCGTTAACTGATTAGATTAGAATATTAAATTCCTCTGGGGTCGGCAGTCCCGCCGGCGGGATCTGACAGAAATTTCGCCAAACCATTTAAATAACTCTGCGAGGTTTTATCATATACACATTTAAAAAACACCCTCAGAAACCTTGGACGGTCTACTTTTCAAATATATATATAGGTAGAAACTAAATATATTTTTATAGCTTCGTGATACGAATAGAAAGAACAAGAGTGACTGACTTAAGCGTCTGCGTCTCGAAGCAGCTCTGATCGCCTTCCCACTTGCAAATTGCGCTATTCGCATGATAACAACATGATAATCCGACAGTTAGTATTGGATAAAGAAATATGTGAATACGCCCATTGTAACCGAAATAAAACAAGAGCACATGTCTGGGTAGTGTTTACACCGATCGGCTACAATATAGCACACGGATACGTCTCTGCCGCTGAAGCTTTGCGCCAATGTTTCCATTTTCAGCAGCAAAGCTCGTACCTGTGTTCATGGCTCAGTGGGCTAAGCCTGTGTGCCTGTAATCACAGTCGCCGATTCAAACCCAGTGTATTTAGAACGTGAAAAGCGATCTTCAGCTGAGATGCCACAAAACTTCATACTACTACTAATAATTAAAATATATATAAAAACATTTTAAACCGTTTAACTGATAGTAATATTCGGTCAAAATTAATTATTTCGGTTAACGGTTAAACGGTTAAAAGGAGCATCCCTACTAAGTACCATAGGGCATATGGTAGGGTACTGGTTTATTCTTGGATTCTTAGATTCCTGCTTACTGGTAGTCTTATTCTGTAAGCTTTTCTGCTTACACTGAAGTGTTATTAGTGACTCTATTTAGTTGTCAATTGTGCAAGATCATTGACAAAGGTTAATGCATACGGGAGAACCATATTTGTGTGATTTTTCTCCTCCCCAAAAACATTTTTCAGTTTGGATTACATTAGCATTTTGGCCTTTTAAAGGATTTCTGTGGTAAGCCTGAAGATCAAAACATTGAGAAAAAGCAAAAATACAACTCAATTTTTTGTGTATACTCAATGTTTTGCATTTTTGGATTTTTTTCTGATTCCTTTGTGTTTTGTATTTCCTTAATGTTTTTTGCGTATTCTTAAATACTGAGTGCTATGCACTTCATAGGATTACAAGGAATTCTGTTGTTGGCAAAAATGTTCAATATATTCCAGGAAACAGCTAGTCATTCACCACATATGTAGCTACAGAGCGTCGTCATCAAAAACATCAAGGCGGGTGCAGCATGGCCAGGGCGGGACACTGCACACATGTGCATACGGCCCCCTCTCAGGGCACTGCGGCTGAGTAAGGACCCCCCCGCTGCGGAGTGCCTGGGACGTCTCCGTGCCGCGGTGGCAGCGGAGGGCGCCGTGACCCTGCGGGATGAGCAGGTCCCGGGCAAACGCTCCTCACAAACAGAAAGTGGCCCCCGGGGAACAAAAGCCTTGGGCTCCGCTGGCGTTCTGGCGGCAGGACAGGAAGGCGGTGGCAGGACCCGCCCTGCGCTCGGGGGCTGTCTGGCAGGAGTCCCACCGCCTCGGCAGGCTTTCATGGCGAAGACAAACGCCTGCCGTGGTACCTGCAGACTTGTGCTTATCCCGTGATTTACTGTCTGACACCTATAGTACCCTAATTACAGCAAATGCATGGCATAACTGTCCTAGATTTACTGATATTACCTTAGAATTACTCACGCTTTTCTCAAGATAATACGTAACAAACAAACAGTACAACTGTTTCTTCAAGATCTCCGCCGTTCCACTGCAAGGACAGATGATGATAATAACTGACGCTCTGACTAATCTTAAGCTTTGTGTTCCAAACCCTCCTGTTACCGTATTGAACCACAGGTCACACAGTCATTATCACACGGTTATACACAGACACCTAATCACCCTACTCCCACAATCTGTAGGAAGATGTACTCAACATCTCTTGAAAATAAGTTGCTTTTTATACGTTTTCATTAAAATTTATCCAGCAGATTATTGACGAGTCTATCGTAAACTCAAACCAAGAACAGAAGTTAACTTCCATACAATGTGATACTAATATGCAAAACCAATGAAAGCAGAGCAAGGCTATTAACACTTTTCAAAAGGAAAATGTGTTATATCTCTAAAAATGAGAACTTTCATGCCAACATCAAGCAGAAAATGACTGCTATATGAAAATCAACTTATTCAACATAAATTAATTTATTTCAGAGGAATCTCATAGTTCCCACATTAGACATGCTTCTTGCACGCTTTTGAGAGATTAAGGCTCTGCACAGTTTTAACCGTCTGTCCTCTGCTGAGATACCGGCAAATTTCGAGAAGCACATATGGTCATAATAAGATGCCCCAGAGGGATCTCTCCCACCCTTGAAACTGCCTTCATATCACAGAAATTTCATTAAGAGCAGGTGAAACTGTTATTCTGAGATTTATCGTGGTGGCTCCTTTGGCGAATACTGCACACAAAAATGAATTTACACTTTAATGCCACCTGCCAGCAGAGTAACAAGCATATCTGATTGATGTGAGCCAATATTACATTTTGGACAAAAATACTGAAGACTAAAAGTAAACCTGAATGAGCATACTGTGTGTTGCCAATGTACCATTTTATTGTGCAAAAGCTAACGCATTTCTCAATATCAAAATCAGTTCTCATAAAAAATATATCTTACCGGCACAGGCTGCAGCTGGTTCCTCCTCCTCGTCCAAGGAGAGCACAAGCTGTTCCTCAAAGACCTGAGTAAGGAGAGAGGAACATGAGGCCGATTCACAGCAAGGTACCTCAGGGCTTGGGGGGGGGGGGCAAGGAACACAGAAATAGCTGCCTGTACGCCAATAATCGAGGGAGGTGTGAAGCAGGGCTGATCCGGTGGTCCATTAGCAAGACCCCCTGCCTTCTGCACACCTCTCAGGCAGAGCGGAAGCTGGAAAACACAGGCACCACTTAGCCGTCATGACGACCGCGCGGCTCCCTAACACGCACCACAATCGATGCGTTTTATGCACAATATAAAATAATATGCCGCAATGTAACAATATGATTCATGACAATAGATTGTATATAGCGTTGCCTCTTATCAGGCATTTGCAGATTAAATACAAACCCCAACTGTTTTCTGACCTCCTCTGCTAAAGAAAATGACAGCCCTGCTGCCAAAGCACCGGTCACGCTGCCCTCGGGAGCAGCACCACCTGGTTGCCCTCAGCATCTACGCTCCACTCTTAAAATTTGGACTGTATAATTAGGAGTTTGCCATTTGTTCATTTGCCTTCCTCTGCCGGTCCCAGGAGGACGGGCTCCCCTGCTGAGTCTGGCTCCTCCCAAGGTTTCTTCCTTCTAGGGAGTTTTTCCTTCCCACTGCTGCCCCTGGTTTACTCACTGGGGGGCTATGGGCGGGGATAATGTACAGTATAGCGCTTTGAAACAATGTAATGTGGTGAAAATGTGCTATACAAATAAAACTTAATTTAACTGAATGGAACTGAATTTACAACTACAGAAAGTCTCCTTCATACTAAGCACTACTACGGGCTTAAGGATAACTGTTTAACGTGTACCAAGCAAGCACCTGTTTTCATTGTCAAGTGACACTGAAAAAGTACTGAGAAAAGCAAATGCTGTACAGATATTTGTAGACAAAGACTGGTGTCAGACTTGGATGAACGAACAATCAGCCTTACATCCACGGCCTTATTTAAACAGCTCCCCAGTACAGAGGCGCATAAACCCAGAACTGATTGATAACCTGTGAAAGGATTATTTTTTTCATGCCTTGAAAGTTCTGTCAAACACTCTATATGTTAAAGCACCCTAGCCTTCCCTCAGCTTTGCAAGCCTGCCTCCAATTTCGCCCTGAGGAATAAAGCTGTTTCCTCAGCTTTGCTGCCTGCGTATGGAAAATTCTACACCCGTAATTACTGCCAACATTTTCCCATTAGGAGAGTTTACATTTAATCATCTGAGCCATTGTTCAACTCTTCCCCTAATTAAGTTCACTACTTAATGATTAAGAAACTAACAGAATATACATATGAACATGGTGTTGGACGCTGTTTTTTTCCTTGTAGGTACAGCGAGTCATACTCACATTATCTTCCAGCGCATGATCAACTCTGCATAAATCTTTCTCAAAATCTGCAGGACAAGAAGGAAAATGAATCATGTGTGTGATTATTTTGCATTACGACCACCAATTATCATCCTGGTAACGATGAGTCATTGTTCATACTGGGAACATTGAACCTGTACAAATAATAAAGTACTTATAAAAACAGCGATAAACACCGATCCACTATTGCCAATAAGCAGTCATTTCACGTGCTGTGACTGTGGTTCCAGTTCAATTTCTGGTAAAGATTTCAGATCCCATTCCATCCTGGATAACAAATGCTAACATGCTAAATCTTTTTTAAAAAAATACCTTTATGTTACATATGCAGAGTAACTTCCAGACCAAAGGGAGCAAGGCTGAAGGACTGTCTCATCGTTCTTACGTGACGTGACGTGACAACAGGAGACACAGAAGACACAGGATCGACTTACTGCAGGGAGCAGCCTACCAGCTAATGGGCTGCAATCAAACCTCACGTTACTATGGTTACTTGCAACAGGAACTTGGGTCCGTAATAGAGAGCGACAGCATCCCTGTGTGGCGCTGCTACAGATAAACTACACGTTGGGCCACCCAAGAGCGGCTGAATGCGTTCGGTCCTGGGCTGGAGATGTTAGGGAAACACTGCTGAGATTTCACAAAGGACCTTCTGTCTCTTCTATAAAATGTAATAAACACAGCAATTCACTGAGGTCCTTGTGCTGCCAAAACTGTTATCATGCACAGGGGGGGCTGGCTTCATGAAATTTAGTGGTTACTGACCAAGAGCCATAGAGAAGCCCTCACTATCTGAATTAATTGAGTGTGAGGGTAACTGTGGGGTGGAAACTGCATGTTGCAAACTGAGTTTTGCTTGTTTGTTAGACCGCCAGAAGTGTATATTGCGCTTTAGCAACAAAGTCAACGGAATTTATAAATAGGGCATAAATATATTTGACTGATTTAAATACAACTGACATAGGAAATATCTGACTGAGGGGAGATATTCCAAGATATTTCAGTTAATCCATATGACATAAAATACCGAAGCCTGGGCCACAAATCACCAAGAGATGACATTATACTTTTATCACGAGGCAGCCATTTCTAGGCCTAAATCCACAGTGGATGGGCCAGCACACACAGCTGGGGGTACGATTCTTCCTAATCTCTGTGAACAGTGCAGGGTCTCTTTATTCAGTTGGTGACTGGGTTAAGGAGCCGCAAAAAGTCAATGACAAAATTAAACAAACCAAATATATTCATCATTTTCACTTCATAAAGAAGGGAATGTACAATACTGTACATGTATCTGTATCTCTTTGTACCACAGATACTTCAAGCCAGTGTTTCCTAACCAAGTCCTGGGAGGCTCCCAGAAGGTCCCAGCTCCCTGCCAGACAGTCCACATTTTAGAGAGCAAAAGACTGCCTGCAGGTCCCCAAGCACTGGAAACACTACTTTTACACAAATACACTTTACAGTAAGTGCAACAATATAATTTATGATGCTTGTTTACATTCTGTATGTTCCTCCAGCGTTCTTTGCCATCATGATAACTGCATGGCTACAAACAAGCTTCAAGTGAAATTCACGAATCATAAAACTAATCCCAGATTTAATATCAGGTGAGACATAGCTGTTGTGGTCTGCAAAGAATGCAATGTAAATTGTAACAGAGGTATGTTGATATGCAGCTTTACTTTCAGTAAATAAACAGATAAACAGTATTACGCACAATTATCTCTGGACATGTTAGTGAAAAGCTGATGGGGCCCCGCATACAGGCAGCAGTGCAGCCTGTTCATTTAGCTGCTAGCTACAGTGTGGCAGCACCAGGCAAAGTATCTAAAGTTCACTGAAATATATGTGTCAGCTTTAATGCCCGCCTAACTCTGTCCTGCATGTCCTGTTTTTGGCCAGCATGTGTCGCTGTTCATCTTGTCCCCCCTCCCACTTGTAGCCCTCAGCCCTTGTGTGTCTCCCTGTTTTCCAGGCCACTGCACAGCTCATCGGGTTGTGGGTTATTCTGTGTTTACTGGGTTTTTGTTTCCTAATGTTTATTACTTTTGTAACTTGTCGGATTTAAGGTACCACAGTTTAAATGGACTTCATATTCGTTCACTTACGTTTTGCCCAGACTACCTTAAATCCGACAAGTTACCCCGATAAGCCAGTAACCCCGCTTCGTAGGACAGGCCCCCAGTGTTGTAACCCTGGTGTTTGTTATGCATTCTTCATTTAGCGTTACCGTTTCCACCTGTTTCTTGTTGTTCCTGTGCCTCCCTTGATTGGTTAACTGATTATGAGCTACACCTGTCCCCTGTTTGCCCTGGTTTTCTGTGCGTATTTCAGTGCCTGCCCTCACTCTGTTTGTTAGTCAGTCATTGTGTAAATGTTACTGTGTGTTTGTTGCTATGTTTGCGCCCAGATTTTTTTGTTGTTTCCCCAGTGTATTTACTTTAGGGTTTCTTTTAGTTAATTCTTGTTTTTTTCAGTAACCCCCTCTTGGTCCTTTTATTCTGTGCCTTCCCCGTTGTGTTCAGCCACATTAATAAACCCCTTTTGTCTTGGAGCTGCCCACTGGATCATCACCTTTTCTCCTGCCCGCGCCATGCCGCTCCATGACAAAATGGTCTTATTTGAAGGAGTAAATAAGCAATTATATAACATTAGCTAAACATGGAGGTCACTGCTATTGATCTGGCAGATTAACACGGCGCCCTGCAAAAGATTTCTAAACCATGGAAGTCTAGCACCTCGTTAAGATTTCACAGAAGCCAGGTTATTCTCAGTGAAGGGAAATAATCAGTCTGTTCAGATTTCTCAGTATAACATGTGCAGGGCTGCTGTCCTGCTTGTGTAGCGCCTACTTCAGATGAGTCCATCACTCTGCTTTTTTCTTCACCCACTTGCCAGCAGAAAAACTCAGGATCGTGTTCAGACTCAATAACACTTCCGACCGCCCATGCCTTCTGCCTCAAAAACGGTCATCTGAAGATATCAAATATTTCGATAAACATATGCAATCTTCATTTTGTGCACTGACAGATATTTTCAATACTTGTCAGATTTCTGTCGGGATTTTTTAAGCTGCACATACACATGCAGATTCTCTTGGCTAAAGATAGCCAGAATGACAGAGTGCATATGCTGTATAACTGCCAAACTGCTAATTTCCTAACCCCAACCCAAACAACTCATTGCAATTGTATGAGCCACACACAATTTCAGGATATGTCTGAAACTGTTCAGAATAAACATGAAAAGAAAAGGAAATGTCACAAATATATAAAAATCCCATTACACATATAAGCAGTCATTGACTGTCCCTTTTTACATTGAAAGCCAAATGAATTATTTAAATTCAAGAACACAGATCTTCTAAACCTTACTATAGTCTTGACACATGGCTTATGGCAAACCCCAAACCAAACATAAGAAGTACCTGTAGTCTTTGTGATGCCTTTGCCGTCATCTTCTTCAGATTCAGTGTGCTGTCCAGTTTGAGAAAGTGCTTTGATCTAAGGGAGTTTCACAGTAAAAAACGTTTGCAGGAACTGTTTAAGATTGCGTAGTGATTTTCCGACTTGTAAATAAACATTTGAAACACTAGTACACTACACTGGATAGTAGTGTACTGTAAAATTTGTTCATTTCCACTTTGAGATTCCATTACATAAATACAGTTATTAAAAAATAATTCTACACTTATGAATTACTTCACATTTGACAAAAATAAAAAGTAAAGAAAAAGTAAAATCATTTTAATAAAAACAGGAAGAGGAAATATTTTCTAATATTTCTGCAAAACCTGCCTTGTACCTTTAAAGGTTGTGATGTGGCACAGTACCACAGTACCAGAGTGTTACAGTACCACAGTGTTACAGAATAAACTGCATTCAGTCTGCCAGTAAGGCACAGAGCAATTCAGATGGCTGCCACTGCGAGTCCTGGGCTCACCTCCCTCAGGAAGTGATCATCCTTCAAGCGCTTCCTCAGCAGCAGAATCCCAGCCTGCCGGTTCCTGTCTGAGGCCCGCTGAACCGTCAGGGTCAGCCTCTCCGATTCGTGGCAAAAGCGAAGCAGTCGCGAGCTGTCGGCCCAGATCTGCGACATCCCGGCCAAGGGCGTGGTCAGTGGGTTTGGAGGGCTGGAAAATGAGCGGAAAAGAGACCCATCAGCGTGCAAAAATCTTGAAATGTCATACGCGTATGCTTGGAAATCTTGCAGACTCAACCTTGGGACAATATTACATAAAAATGTTCTTTTGTTTAATATTTTCATGTTTTATGTTATCATCATTTAACAAATAATAATAATGCTTTCTCATAATTCAGATTTATCAAACAAGATTACCCGTCATGCAGAGACTGCAGCTGTGACATCACATACTTCCCAATACTGTCACAGTTTTTTTTTTGACCCTTCACTGTTTAGTGAGCCTAGTGCAAATGGAGCAGTAATATAATAAGCAACGCATGCTCTGCTGTTGCTATCCATTATGCAACCTGTAATGTCCATTATAACTTAAAGGGACTATATTTCACAGTAATCCTCCCTAACCTAATATTTTGACCATTCTTCTCCAATACTAAATGTAACTTCATTAAGACTAATCAAGTAGAAGGAATATGCTAACATCCTTCCAGTTATTGTTCTCTGCAAAAATATCCAAAAATCCAAAGATTCCACCAGCTCCAACTACTGATTTCTATGTGCTCTTAAAATGCTGGCGTCTTAAACCTTATATAACCCAATATACATCTTTTTTTTAAAACTCTAAATGTTATTGCTTTACTACGTTTATAATGAGGCTGGACACACTGTTGCATTTCTTGATAAATCCATTTTTATACCCCCCAGGGGATTTATATGAGAAATATATACATCACTGGTTGACTCAGAAAGCATACCTGATTTCAAAGACCCTCTATATCAGTGGAGAAATGACTCACTTTGTCAGTAGTTCCAGTAGGGCCTGCTGCCCGGACTGTTCTGCCAGCTTCAGGGGAGTGTCCCCCTCCTCATTAGGCAAGACCACAGCCATCAGGCCCCCGGGCTGACACAGGAGGAGCTGCAAGACGCGGGGGAGGCCCAGTCGCACCGCAATGTGGAGCAGAGACTCCCTGGGCTGCAGTTCTGTGAGAGAGAAACACGAGGATATACTAAAGGTCAGGAAGCTTCAGCTGCTACTGGAGAACTTGGCCGCAGCATCACAGGGCACACACACAATCATACACCATGGGCAATTCAGAGGTGTCAATTAGCCTAACTGCATGTCTTTCGGCTGTGAGAGGAATCCCGCCTGATACAGGAGGAAAATGGATTTCAAGGCAGCAGTGTGACCCTCTGAGCCACAGTGCCGCCCCTTAGTACTGAACACATTTCATTACATCCTACGGGGAGCCCCCAGGTTTCGTGGGGCTGTTACCCTATGCTGTTTCCTTGTTAGTAGTATTCCCTGTTTAGTATTTTATTTAGTATCCCCTAGTATGTATTGTAGATTTCCTGCCTTCCTGTATTGCTCCTTCTTGCCTTTAGTATTGTGCTCCTGGTGTTGCTCCATGACTTAACTTCTGTTTCATCAGTTTGGTTTTGACCCCTCATGGTCCCTTATTTTCAGTGTCTCCGTTGTCGTTCTGCCTTTTCTCGGAGCCTCTATGTGGATTATCCTTCCTCTGTCATGCCCCACCTTAACATGTTCACAAAACTATTGTTGCAATTGTATCAAAACACGCTGTGAGTGGCATTTGCCACTGTGGTTAACACTGCTGACGAACACCACTGGAACTGGGGTTTGAGTCTCTGTCCTAGCTCCGTATGTGTGGCGTTGGAATGTTCTCCACACGTTGTCATGGGGTACACTGCCCCCCCCCACAGTCCAAGACCCTGACTCAGGCTGACATAACAAACAGCTGGACATCTCATTTAAGGTCCCCTAGAGGGATGCTAGGAGAAATACCCACAAGAGGCATGGTGCCAATCCAATAGGGACTCTGCTTTTATAGCTATGACACTGTTCCCTTAGTCCAATCTCTACCATGAGGTGGTCTGGATGCTTTCAAAATATTGTTCTGCCTCTTGTCAATAAAGGCTTGGCTGAATATAGGAAAAATAAGAACAGTAAACCAATATCAGACTCCACATAACACAGTCAGGACTCTACCATTTTGTGTTTCATATTCCTTATCTATACATAATTTTTTAGAAATCTTATGTTCAGTAAGGCCAAAATGAGCAACTCATCTGAACAATTCTGCTTTATGCCGTATATTGATAATGCAAATGCGCAAATGCAATTAAAAGTATTTCTATAAATAATTTCCCATTTTACTTTGTCGTTACATTAATTCAAAGATTTATTTTTCAATTTTGTTATAAAGAATATTATAATTTTTTAAAACACAGACACTCACATTGAGTGACATCAGCTGTAAAACCAGCCATTCCTGTCTAAAAAAGATAACTAAACATACACAAACAATTGCCTGAGTCATCTATATCTTGCTCTCCTTGTTTTTGCCACTTTCTTTAGACAGTACAGAGTAACCCCCTCCCACCACTGCAATAATACACCTAGGTCCCCTGTTTTCCACTGATAATGAAAGTGCTTAAACTCCAATAACCCCCATTTAGCCAATCAGGTGACTGCAAATTAGCACAAGGCTCACTTAACAAGACTGTTCATGTTTTCTATACAAAATATCATTCTACAGCAATACTTAAAATATATGTTTTGTGCGTCATTAAATTGCAACACCTTATACGTGTCCTTAGAGAAAGCTTCATTAAAAGGAGGCTTTCAACCCCGCAGAGTTGCACTGTCAGATTTCACCGGGAGGAATGTGGCAAATGAAGCATCCATCAGCTAATTCAATGCGACAACACGGTACAGGCCATTCACGACCTCGGCGGTAAGGCCGAAAGCAGCCGCTGCCATGTAAAGCATTCCGCGGATCCTCGGACACTCATGCTATTCTTCTTCCCGCAGAGCAGACGATTTGTCCCAATGCCATTTTATTAGTACAGATGCTCATTCTTTTTTCTTTTTTTTTAACATACACCGCATCTGTTTTCTCTTTGTGACCTATAATACCCAACATCATACTAACAAAGCAAGCTCAGTATTAAATGAAAAAAGTATAGTTTAAAAATATTATAAAGGATTAAAATAAACACCCAAGCATTCCCCAGACAGAGCAGTGTTAACAGAAGAACCGTAGCACATCATATATTAACAGGGAACCACGTCAGTGTGATTAAGGTCTGACCAACCTCCTGCAGTACCGTCCACGTGGAAAGTTTTTACTTTGAATTTCTCCAACAGAAATAATATCCAGATGTACAAGTACTCGTGCTTATGCCAGACTCAGAGTGTACAGAGTAAATACAATCAATCATTCTGAAAGGGAAAGATAATTAATTTTTCTTGACCTCTGTTATGATATGCTAATACACAAGAAACCTGGAAACTGTGAAAGCTATTAACAAAACGTACTAAGCTCTCAAGCAAATACTCGGAATTTCAACGTCTTTTAGTAATGGTTATGATTTTGGACAGGTACAAAACATGCCTAGGCAGTGCAGTAAATATACAGTGAAATGTGTGTCAAACAAAATTAATTAGTCATTAACTGTATAATGTTAATGAATAACCTGGCATGCAAAGGTAGCTGTTTAGCAAACTGCATTAAAAGTGATGAATTCTAGATTCTTAACTCGTGGTGGTTTTAAGTATCCACTGCTAATTTGAAACTGGTAATGGAAAAACGTCATTTAAATGTTAGAAATTCATAACATTCTTAAACTCATTGTACCTATATTTTAATATAATATCATATTTCCAGATTTAATATTTTCTAAAAGAATTATGTATAGTAATAAAAAATAGTCACAGATCAGTATAAAGTAGAAGAATTAATCATATTTAAACGAGCATATCACACACTGAAAGCAACTAAATTAAGAAAACTAAAAACATACATACTCCATCCAAATTCCACGATAACAACATAAACCAGGGAACAACCTGGACAGGATACCAGATTTTAGAGGCACCAGTTCACCTCAAACACACGTCTTTGGACCACTAGTGGAAATATGGCAACAAGGCAAATATGGGGATAACTTGCAAGCTTGACACACAAAGATACACATCCAAAGTTAAGATGGGGACTAACATCACAACCCTGGATGGGTGACTGGGTCTCACATTAAAACAAATGAATAAAATTTAATAATTACTATAATTAATTGTAATAATATTATATGTATTAAATGGACATGATGGTAAAAACACAAAAATCATAACCATATTATCTCTCACTTAGTTATAATCCCTAAACAAGCTTTAAAGATTACAGCAGCCCTGTGTTATGGTTCGGCGGACGGGTGAGCGGAGAAGCAGGCGAGAGAGCCGTAAATACGGGAATACGGGGTTTATTCGGGACAGACAGGCCACGGACATTAAACAATACAATGACAGATCTGGGAAGACTAACTCAGACGCGGACTAAATACACAGGACAAGCCAAGAGGAACAGGAAACAGGTGATGACAATCGGGAATTGACACGAGGTAACGAGGGGGGCGTGGCACACACGAGGATCATATGAGCGGGCGTAACACCCTGAAGGTCATTAAATTTTTACAATAATGTTAAATAAATATAGTTCTGGCTTTCCATAAAGGACTCACATTCCACCAAGGATACTATGGCCTTTTTCTGATTTTAGGTTATTCATATAACTTTGAAATACAATTATAACTGTATTATTATTAACATACAGTTACCCTAGAAATTAAAAATAATAGCTGTGTACTTAAAATCAATTTCAAATATCTTCCATTTAGTCATCCATAATTATGAAGACATTGATATGGTACTGCTATGAAACAGAGCCCTATAATTCCATTAAAAAGCAAATCAGATTTGTTTGTAAATAAAGCAAACATACTCAGTTATTTAAACCCAGCAATGGTATTGCAATTTGCTTTTCTATGTCTGCAGTCCTTTCCTAATTTTATCCTGACTTGACTTCAAAATTTAGATCATTTTCCATCAGTAATCGGAAGTAAGCATACATTACATCATTATGCAGAATGGAAGAAAACACAAAAAAAAAAAAACAAATATATTAATATATGGCTTTGTGCCAAAAGAATGTACAGACAGTAATGTAGCAGCCTAACAAAATATGGCACTGAAAGGTTTATTGGCTGTTTCATATGATTCCCTGGAACATTTCAGGGAAATGATGCAGCTGTTCATATTGAAACCATACTAGTACGTTACACTGCAAATCAATACTTCTCTTTTCCGATACAAACCAGAACAGAAATGTCTCTTGATGATAAGACAGGGTGATATTTTTTCAAAAAACAAAGGGCCCTTTCTCCATTCGAGGAGCATATAATGCGCATGTTTGAATCGACAAATGGGCAATTCCCTGATGATGAAAAATTATTACCCCTCCATGAATCACCACCTTATCATGGTGGAGGGGTTTGAGCACCCCTGGATCCTAGGAGCTATGCTGTTAGGGGCAATCGCCCCCAGGTAGGGTCTCTCAAGGCAAACTGGTCCTAGGTGATGCAGAAGACCCTATGATGGAAAAGATTAAGGACTATGTAACGTCACCCAAATTAGGGAGACTGGAGCCCCACCCCGGAGGAAGGTAGGCGTGCACCCGGCGGTCAGGTCTCCACCCATGGGGCCCAGCTGGACAGAACCCGAAGGAGTTACAATGGTCCGCCCTCCTGAGGGCCCACCACCTGCAGGGGGGTCATGAGGATCGGATGCTTTCTGGATAAGGCAGCCGTCAAAGGCAGGGGTCTTAGTGCACCAATGCTTGGTTACTGAAACTGGCTTTAGGAACATGGAGCATAATCCCTCTTGTGGGACAGGAGCCAGAGCTTGTGCACGAGGTAGAGAGATACCAACTAGATATAATCTGGCTCATCTGAACATACGGCTCAGGCTTTGGAACCAGAGGACTCTATTCCACTCTGAATTTGCCCATGGTGAGAGGTGCTGGGTAGGTGTGTGTCTACTCATAGCCCCCCCGGCTCGGCGGCAGTATGTTTGAGTTCACCCTGGTGAATGACAAGGTTGACAAGGTCGATTTCATGTCGGGGGATGGACTCTGATAACGGTCTATTCCTACGCACCAAACATAAGCTTAGAGTATCCAGCTTTCTTGAAGACTTTGGGTGAGGTGCAAGAAACCGACCCCTACTGGGGGATTTTAATGCTCACGTGGATAATGAACATGAAACCTGGAGGGATGTGATTGGGATGAATAGCCTGTCTGATCTGAACCCAAGCAGCATTTTGTTATTGGACTTTTGTGCTAGTCACAGTCACAGTTTTTCCATATTGAACACCATGTTCATGCATAAGGGTATTCATAAGTGCACTTGGCCCTAGGATACCCTAGGCCAGGGGTTGCCAATCTCATCCAGAAAGGGCCATTGAGTATGGAGGTTTTCACTGTAGCTCCCTAATTAGATTACTAATTAGAAGACCGACTGGCTGAAGAGTCCTCACACGTTATCCCAAAAACCTGCATATATACTGGCCCTTTGAAGATAAGATTGCCCACCCCTGCTATCAATTAATGATTGACTTTGTAGTACTATCATCAGATTTGCAATCATATGTCTTATACGCTTGGTGAAGAGAGGAGCTAAGCAGTCAACTGAACAGATCTAGTAGACCCAAATGTATGTCCTGCAGAACTTCTTCTATATGATGAGGGAAGCTGGAGACATTGAGCCCAACTGGCCTATATTCCATGGCCTATATTCCATGCCTCTATTGATGAGGTGACTGTTCAGAGCTGTGGTCACATGGTTGTTAGTGCATGTCACAATGGAAATCCCAGAACCCAGTGGTAGACAGCCTTCCCAAGCTTAATTAGTTTGTGGGACTCCGAAGGTAACTTGCAGTTGTGGAAGCAAAAACGCCAATGTGGGAAGAGTTCAGTGAAGCCATAAAAAGGGACCTCTGGTTGGCTTGAAAGAGATTCTGGTAAACTGTCAGCAGGGGGAAGCAGGGCTTTAGCCCTGCTGTTCACTTCAACTGGAGATATCGTCAGAGTGTGAAATGAGTACTTCACTAATGCTGAGGTCACTGAGGTAGTTAAAAAACTACCCAGTGATAAGGCTCCAGGGATGGATGAGATTCGCCCTCAGTTCCTGAAGGCTCTGGATGTTATTAGGCTGTCTTCATTGACACACCTCTTCAACAGTGCGTGGAGATCAGGGACAGTGCCTTTGGATTGGCAGACTATAGTGGTGATCTCAATCTTTAAGAAAGGGGATTGGAGGGCATGTTCCAACTTCAGGGGGGATCACATTCCTTAGCCTCCTTGGGACAGTCTATACCGGGGTACTGAGGAGGAGGTTCCATCCATTAGTTGAACCTCAGATCCAGGAGGAATAATGCAAATTTTATATTAGTTGCGGGACGCTGGACCAGCTCTTTACCCTCACAAGGATACTGGAGGGTTCATGGGAGTTTGCCTAACCAGTCTCCCAGTTTCCAGACTTGGAAAAGACATATGGGGGTCCTGTGGGGGTGCTTCAAGAGTATGGGGTGCCATTAGGTCCCTGTATAAACGGAGCAAGACTTTTAATAAGTAAATGGTTCTCATTGCCGGCAGTATCTTGCGTCTTTGCTTTTACAGATGATGTTATCTTATTGGCTTCATGGAGCAGTGACCTCCTCCAGCTTACACTGGGGCAGTTTACGGAGGATCAACCCAAGGGCTATGGTTCACAAGCAGAAAAGGGTGGATCTCCAGGTTGGGGTGAGTTACTACCTGAAGTGGAGCAATTTAAGTATCTTGGGGTCTTGTTTACAAGTGAGGGAATAATGGTGCGGGAGATCAACCGGTGGATCGGTTGTACTGGTCTGTATTTGTGATGAGAGAGCTGAGTCAGAATACAAAGCCTTCCCTAAACCTGTTGATTAGGGATATGCCTCTCCACAGTTTTTCATTTCCGATTCAGTTCCGATAAACAACTGCCGATACCGATACAGATTCCGATACAATAGCTCTATTTACTTTAATATACTACTTTAATACTATATCTAATTTTAATATTTTTGGAAATGGAAAAAAGGAAATGAAGAGATTCAAGCCCTTGGTTTACCTTGCCAACGGGGGTGGGGGGGGTCCCCTGAGTATATTGTGGTATACCATATACCATTGTGATCGACCAGTTGGTCACCGATGAATTAAAGCATCATCCATTAATCATCTTACGGTCAACCTGGAAATATGCCAATCGAAGGGTTGGGCACCCCTGATCTAAAAGGACCAAGTGTCACTTTCCTGCAGACTTGAATAAGATACATTCACAGTTGACGAAAGAGAATCTTAGCATCACATATCAAAAACAGATTGCAAAATATGTATAAAGTGCTCATATTTGCAAAAATGCTTGCCTCTGAATTTACTAGATATCGTTTTTCATATAACTTTCAACCATCTAGTTCAGGGTTTTAGTGATCCGAGAGCCCATTCCAGGGAACACAGGGCACAAGGCAGAAGCACAATGGACAGGCCTTAGAGATGCCAATTAACCTGACTGCATGGCTTTGAGTTACAGAAGAAACTCAGACAACACAGGGAGAACAGGCAAACATCACACACGGGATCTGAGCCCCCAGCCATTGAGGTGTGATATGACTGTGCCACCCAAGGGATCCTTTATTACTATAATTTAGTTGCTAAGTAACATGATTACAGAAAGTGATCTTTCTTCATTCTGTCATTTTAAACAGTTGTATATACTACTGGAGTAATTTAACTCCTCCTTTAGGGGAATACACCAACTACTAGCATTATTCCATAATCCCAGCCACACTTCTTACATACATTCTCAAAGGTTACCTTCACCAGGTTGGCTTCCGAGGACGTTCCACGAGTATGGATAGTCTAAGTTGGCCATAGCTTGCGTGATACTCTCATCCATCCTTCTACAGCCATCCTTGTCGCTTAAGCTAAACCTGCCGGCGATGTCCTGGTGGCTGCTGGCACTTAAGCAGTGAGCGTGAGTGACCAGAAACTCGGCCAGCTCCTGAGCATCATCCTGGATGTACTCCACAGAGGCCTTTCCTAGGCAGGAGACAGGCTGCCCTTCAGTGTAGAGATAAGCCATGACGGAAACCATCTCGAAGAGGTTATGGCCTGCAGGAAGGCAAACGTCACATGCTTACTGGCTAAATTAATCAGCTAAACTACTCACATGTACAACTGTATTATCCTGATGATACAAAATCATTATTAGTAGATTAGTAGTTTACATTGCTTTGGTCAAAATCAAATTAAAAAATAACTAAAAGCAACATGAACAACATAAACATACCAATGTGAAAAACAGCACCCATGTTAACACCGGTACAGACACAACAAAGCTCAGTTTGTTAGCAAAGTCCTGCTCTGTTTTTTGTTTCATGTATGACGTTACTTTTCTTGTATAATTCCCGATTAGTGGGGTGTGGTGCAGTGAGAGGCTCAGCAGCTATGTGCACTGCATGTCAGTCAAAGCCACTTCCAGCTCCTACACTGTGACACACGGAGCAAGCTAGAGCAGCAAATATCATCTCCTAGGGCCTGTGCCTACTATATCCTTTTACGGTGTTCATTAAGTGCACCTTTATAATGCATTTATAATGCATTCATAGAACATTAATAAGCAGCATGTATTAAAAAGGGGAATAATGCTCATGCCATTCCACACATACATGATAAAGCATTACAATTCTTTTTGAACTTGTTATGTATTGCTTATAAAATGATTATAATGTTATTAATTTCTCTCGAGATCATTTAAGTATCTGTCTTTATGTTTGCCTGCCCGTCTGTCTCAAAGCTGTCAAGTCCTGTTCATTGAAAGTATTGTGAATGCAATGCTTTAAGACATGTTAAGGAATACTTACCTGCTGCTTATTAATGTTCTATGAATGCATTATACATGCATTACAAAGGTGCACTTAATGTGAATTATTACCCAACATTCTTGACATAAAACACTGGGAAACCTGTTAGAATGGCAAACAAAAGCCAGGGATCATATCAGGAATGACTGGTTATTAGGGTACAGGACGGGGCAGGACCGGAATGACGGCCATATAAAGCGTAGGTGACAATAAGGAAGCCTTTGCAGAAGATGATGAAGAAGAAAAACAAACAAGATAAGGCAGGAAACAGAATATGTCCCACAAGCAGGGCTCCTGTTAACTAAACCAGTGGTTCACAGAAAAAGGTCCTCACATACTACTAGTGCTACCACATAGTTTGCCAACCACTTGTCTAAAACAGTCAGTTACCAATTTATACTGTTACCCAGAACAATGGACAGGATTAACCAACCCAGAAAACCCATGTTACCTGACCCTCCCTCCTGTGATGGCCATGCCCCCAGGCCTACATAAACTATTTTATATTTCTGAATATAGACATATAGAAGCTAGAGGGACAAAGAGGCCACAAGTGTGCTTTGGATGTGCAAGCCACAAACTCTGACCTGTCCGTTATACTGGATATACTGGTTTGACAAAACCTTACATGTGGGACTCACCTGGAACAATGAAGTCCAGGTCACACCCCTCGCCAGCTCTCTGAGCCACGGAGATGTGGTTTAGAGAAGACCCTTCCAGCACAATGTAGAACTCGGCGTCCTCTGGAAGCAGAACCGCATCCGCGGTTTGCAGGACAGCACAGACTTTAACCCTCCCCTGGAACAGAAACAGGAGGAGGTTGGGATGCAGAATCTGCCAGAGCTTTGAGGCACAAACTTCCTACCTGAAGAATTAGAAATGTATCTCATCTGCTTGAAAAATTATGCAATGAATGTAATAATCAACATACACATTAGGCTTAATAGTAGTTTAATCACTGATTTCAGGGGGGAAAAAAAACTAGCTAATTTAACTGAAATTACAATCGTAAAGTAAGTAACAGATTCACTGATTTTAAAACCGATATTTCTACATGTATGTATGCATGTACAATAGACCATTCAGCGTCACGACTTTCCCATCACGGTCTTGATATATCGCAGGGATTAACCGGGAAATTACTGGGAGTTTATGGAAATGTTGTAGATGACGAACAGAAGCCAGAAGGCGACACACAAAATGTTTCGTAACTCATCAATGCATAAAATATACATACAATGCTGGTTTGGAGGACGCCAAACATGTTTACAGCAGCCTCTCATGTGATCTCTCACAGTGAGCTTCGTCTGTCACATTTCTGTCACCTTTTTGCTTCACTCACATGCCTGCTTCACTCACCAAGGGGACCAAAAAATTTTACCCAGTTTTTCCAGACAGCAAGGGGCTCGTGTCCCTAACCCCCACAATGTGGAAGGGTCTGTATGCTGATATTTATAAACATTATTAGTTTCATAATTGACGTTACATTGTTATAGTACATTGTTCTTATGTGGCAATCCCTAAGAATACAAATACATTCTAACTCCTCAAACACTCCCCACAATTAGCATACGTGTGTTAATGTGGAAAGTGAAGGTATGGTACTGAAATTGTGCTTATGTATGACATCCATAAATGAGTGGTATGCTGTATGGAAAAGAAGTCATATAACGAGTAAGTCAATAACAAGATGAATTGACTGGAACATTGAGGTTCCATCAGCTTTTATTCTGAAGGGAAGAGACCCTTGGGATCCAATGTGGAGCCAATGCGAAGTCCGGTTGATACTGCACAGCTCCAGATGCACTAAGGACAACATCTCTTTTGGATTTTCACTTGTGAGCCATTCAGAGAGGGAATTTCTGGCGACCTGTCACAAAGGTCTCATCTATCAACCTTCCGTAACTGCTTATCCAGAGAAAGGTCACGTGGAGCATGGGCACCATCCCAGGAAAGACAAGGAACAATCTGGAGGGGATGCCAGTCCATCTCAGGGCTCACGCTCACACACAGTCACCACTATGGGTGGTAATATGGGCAGAGGACACGCAGAGCGTGCCAACTCCACAGACAGGGCAGGGTAGATATCCAAATAATAACTTTGGAGATGTAAGCCTAAAATGCCAAGAAGTGAGACAGAAGTCATTTAACAGAAATTCTGAAGCATTTTAGAGCATTTGTTACTTACAGAGATCTATGGACGTGAACACAACAGGCATTGATCATCATGTTTTTGTATCTCATTCGTATGAACATGCTTACAGTACTTCAGGCTATTTTACCCATATGAGTTGTGTTGTCCTACATGTACGTGAGAACTGGATGATCAAAGAATTCAGTATTAGTGGGCCAAATGCAATTCAGTATTAAGATGTTATGGCCCATATCAGAACTACTGCCTAACTTCTCAATGTAGTCCTCAGATGCCGAACTGAACTAAACAGTTGGTGGCTACAGTTTTGGTCCACATAAAAGTGAAAGAATATCTTATATGCATGCCTTCAATTTACAATGAATGTACTGCAAATTATCACATGAATTCACTGCATGTGCAAAGTTACAAGGCCAAATAATAAAAGACACAGTACCTAACATTAACATAGTTTTGGTTGGCCACGTAACCAGACCAGTATTAAAAATGGTAATTTGTACTCCATTAGTAATATCCCTTTCAAATATCTCTGCATTTACTGCTCTATTTGCAGATGAAAGATTTCTGAGAAATAAACAAACATTAAAATAAAACTGAATGAAATGCACAGCTTGATCTTGTTTAGATATATACAAGCAATACATATTTATTGTGAATTTTCTTCTACATAAAAATGCATTATTAACATCACAAACAGAACAAAGATAAGTTAGACCCACTAACTAGATCCACTAAAGTAGCATAACCCACAGACCTGAAACTGCAGCCTGTTTAGAGGAACACAAACTCTCAACACTTAATAAAATCTCTAGTAGGTGGGGAAGGGGGTTAATGTAAGAGAGGAAGGAAGGATAATTGCATTTAATGGGTAATTACTTGTTACTGTGGAAACCAGTCATGACTATGGGAGGATCAGAGGATTACAGAGGAAACACACTCTAGTCTGGTGAACCGTTAGTTCACTAGGTGTTGGTCTGACATCCTGTAGCTCTGAATGAAATTCTAGCACTTGCATGATATGGAAAAACCGCTTAGAGATATCTTTGAAATGTACAGTACGATTTGCTTAAAGGAAGGTCCATCAGTCAATCCATTCATCCAACCTGACAATAAATATTCTATTGCAGTGTTTTGAAAGCTATTACACTTTTGTTTGTAGAAATCCATGTTCAGATCATGATGGTACAAAAGTATATTTTTTTCTTGTGATTGAATCAAAAAGCACGGCCAGTGGGGCTGTACTTAAACAGCAAATGACGACATCCGATATTCCATAGTTCGGTATGTTCAGAAAAGTAAAGGAATGTGACATTCATTTTGATCCAAATTCACCTCGGACACACTATACTCATTTGCTCATTTCTAACTTTTTTGCTTGCCCATAATCATCTAGAACCAGCATTTTTTACTTAAACTGAAATAATTCAGTTGATCACACTATAATCTCACTATATATTATATATACTATTTTTTTCCTTATCTCATTAAAGTACTTGAAGTACAGCCATAACCTTGAAGACAAATGTTTCCACGCCAAACAAAAGCAGCTACTGTAAATATTTCCGAAAGCAATGCCAATAGCAGAAGGTCTACTTTACTGAAACGGCCTTCTAAAAGAAACAAAGCGGTAACCAGGTTAGATCCATACAGACACGCTCCAGAGTACCAAAATGCACACCAATCACTTCCAACTTCTCCGTTAGCACAGCATGCCAAAATGTGGCTTCCTCCTTCTCTCCATAATAAAGGAAACAGCTCTACTTACAGAGGTAATGAAACGGGAATCATACTAATAATCATATTAGCAGCCTGCTGATATGATATGTCAGTAACAGGTCGGCATTCCAGTTTACCTGCCTGGTCACTGTAAGGATGAGTAAAATCCAAGATAATTAATTTAAATGCCAAAGTCAACCTCATTAAATGTTTAATTGAAATACCTGTCGTAAAAAAGATAAAAATACTTGCATACAATTGAGGCAAGATTTTTGCTTTTCTCTACTTGAAACCGTTTGATCATTTTCACTCTTTCTTTGCACTTCCCCGATTCTGAGAACTTTCAAAGATGATAATGAAAAAGGCTCCTTCAGGACTTTTCAAGTTGAAACCATGATACCCGCCCCCCCCCCCCTTTTCATCGGGACTGCCTTTCAGGATTGTGATTGAATCCGTGATTCTCCCCAGCCTTGACTAGATCCTCACAAAGTGTGTTTAGTTTTCGTCCATAATTAGTATCTGTAGAGGCTGTTAAAAACAGGAGGACAGGACAGTATTAGTGGCAGGAAGCCGTGCCAAAGATGGAGGAGGGTCATTCTCACTAACTGAAAGTGAATGAAGGCATCTCAAAAGGCACAGAATTAGCACAGGCCGCCGCGGCGGGACAGTCGACGGCTTTTACCGCCATTCACATCCGTATTTGAGATGTGACCACTGCACGACCCCACATCCCTGACAGAACACTTCTCTAACACTTGCGTCTCAATTCATCAACAGACATAAACATTTCAGAAAGAGGTCTTTCTTATATATATTGGACTATAGATAAAAGCTATGTGCTGGTTCTCAGCAAAGACGAGGAAAAGACACATCCATTAAAAGGCAGCAGAGCCCAAATGCATACACCGGGAACAGAAAGTCTAAGTGCCAGCCCAAGCCATTGCGATCTCTGATATTTATGGGAGATGGTGATGCGATGCTGTGATAAAGCTGACTGCATTGTAATGAGAAGCAACCCTTAGAAGCAGGTTCCTTTTGTCACTTGTCATGAGTACAGTGACAGAGACAAAATATACGATCAGACGACATAACCAGAAACTGTACCTATGGCAGAATAAGATCAGGGATTGAACAAACAGGATTCATCTAGCATTCAAGATCCAAATTTATTTAGTGCCATTCCTACTGGACTGCTTACGAATGAACTATGATGAAATTATTATGGGCTGCATGCTGTTGCATTACTCATGTATCGACAAGGGCATAACCAGGAGAAAGACTACAAAGATACTTATACATGTGCAGATACACGTGTATTCTTAGGAAGGCACATCACACACTAGAATACAAATTCTTACACGCAAAACACAGATCATTGGTTCATAACTCTTTCCTCAGCCCTCTAAGAGCGTGGACTGGCAATGGGGGTGTGGTGGTGCTAATCACCAGTGAGAACCATCAATGAAGATGATTTCTCTGCAACAGATTTCCTGCTGTTTTCACTGGAAATGGAGACACACTGGCCCTGGTCCCTTTTTATGGGGTGCTGCATGCTGTCCGATTCACCTTTTCTGTGTAGGAGGAAGTGTTCTGGGAAGATAATACACTGCTACTATGGCTGGAGAACAGGGGTGTGGTGCAGGGAACAGACACGCATTGTACAGGCTGTAATCAGTAACAGGAAATTCAGTGCCACTGAAATACAGAACGTGAAATGTAAAACACGACGGGGCAAACATCATGGAAAAGGTGCTAAATAGAACTAAACTGAAACTGAATAATAGTCACTTCTAATACAAAGTAGCTCTTTGTATTGTTAGGAAAATAAATACCAACATTTTAACTGATAGTTTACTGCTATAAATAGCAGAAGTACTTGAATTTTATTGAAATTAGCACTTAACGTTAACGTGTAACACGCACGCTCTTTGTTTCGTTTCAGTAGGTCCTCAGCACTATTCCCCCACGTCCGTCCATTTTAAAACGTACGGTAACAGTTTAGCTAGGATGCAGCCATCTCTCCCACATGGGGGGAAGCGACCCTCGTCGCATCACTAATCCCGTCTTTGTACCTTCTGGCTATATTCTTGGAGATACTTGTGTATCGCGCTTCACCTCTGGCAACCAACGTGATGCTTTTGTCAAAGGCAGCAATGGAGGCTCTTCTCCCACATGAAGACTATGACCCCAGCCATCTCATTAAGAGCCAAAGACCCTTCAGCGAGGCTCCTGCCGTATGACGTCTGCCTTCATTTATATACATCATTCATCATTTGAAATCTCAATGAACCCCAGGTAAATATGGCAATACCCTTTCCTTGGCAGACAGCCCAGACAGCATGGAAGAAACACAGCAAGATATTTCTGTCTCCTTGCACACATATAAGACGTAGACTCTAAGTAAGTCAATTTTTTGGGGAAGCACCTTTACCGATATCGAGTCCAATGCCGAGCTCATGTACTCCTCCTCATGACAAAGCGCCAACACCTATGTCAGATACCACCTGATTATGCATTCAGCAACATCCTTACCGAACAAAATAAATGGGTATGCAGTGCTTAAGTACCTCAAAATCAACAAATCCGAAGCATAGCAGACTGTAAACTCTGCTCTACAAAACTATCAAGAGAAGGTAAGAAAACGCGTTCATGCAATAGTCATCCAACATCTAAAAACTAAACATAAGAAAGAGTATGACAAAATTGCAGCACTCTGCAGCAACTCACCGTGCAGTAAACACTAGCACAAAGAGGGAAAATATCTAACAATAACCCTCATGCAGTGCTAATAACAGAAGCTCTTACCCACCATAGGGCAGTAATGCTACACATATTCATTGTGTGCCTTTGGGTACATCATTTTCGGTACACACAATGAAACTAATGAATGCATTTATTGACATGGGCAAAACAGTTCAGATGTTCAATACGGAAGACATTAGGCTAATTGTGGCTGTTAGTTGGTTATGGGGAGGGCTGGAGAACTCAAAGACCCTCCCACATCACTTTAAGAAGTAGGTGGGGAACATCTCAGTTTACGAATAAATTATTCCAACATTGCAGAAAGAGGAGTTGATAAGACCAAGACTGTCTCTTAGCTCTGCTATATCAAACAAGGATGTGGTGCTTGAAACACATTCAACGCACTAACTCATTTCAGACGGCATCATCCAAGTGTGTGTACGGAAAAAAAAAAGCCTCGGCAAGTTAGTTTCCACGTGGCATTTAAGGTACTTTGCCAGGAAATTATGACTGGACTTAAAAAAAAAACACTAAAAGTAGCCGTAAATTTCAGAAAAATTCAAAAGAATCAACGTTGTTTTAGGAATACACTGTCATATTTGCGTATATTGTGGTAATCATTATTTTGACGCACCACCTCTGCAGGGACCATAGGTGCACATTTCCATTTGTTTTGATTCAACCCACTGTCCAAGACTGGCTGACATAAATGTGACATCTACTACGTCTGCTTCAGACATCGCTTGATAAATTATACTAAGGCTATTATGAGACGTAAGTATGACTGAACGTTACTCGATAAGATGGAGACGTAATGGATGTTAGAGGACGTATTTTACCACATGTGCAGTATGCCGGATGAACCAACACAAAACTATTGCACTGCCAATATAGAGGTTTAGTTAAATATGTGTGTTATTGTATCGCATGGTGCATATTATTTTTTTTATCGCACAGGCCTAACTGATGTCATTGTCAGTAATCATACTCGGTCTGAAAAAAATGTTACCACTGCATCCCCACAATTTGTTGAAACAAATACTATTATAGCATTGGATGACATGTATGAATCGAAGAAGACAAGTTGCTTAGAGATCAGAGCAAACAAAATGTGCAATGCAATGACTGCAACCTGATCTCCAAGGGAAAAAAACACCTCCGTAGCTCACCGGTGCTGTTCACAGAGTGCCTTCAGGTGACAAGGATGTCTTGACACATTGTAGTTTAGAATGAATATAATCAGATAAATGACAAAGTTTTTTTAATTTTAATAAGAACTTTTTTCCTAATTTCCATCTGCTTATTTTTTCTTATTTTCTATTTCCAGCTGCGTTCATTTCTTTAATTAAGATGCAGTTTGTATGCAGTTTTTTCACCCGTCTCAGTTGACTCATTACTGACTGTCACCATGTTTTCCAGTGACAAAATGATTTTTAATCTCACTCTGTCAACATGTTGCAAAGAAGTTGGACACTACAGACACATTTTACATGAAATGTAGCCATATGAAACTTAATCTGTTTATAAATAACTTTAACCTAACTGAAAAATTCACTGCATCTAGATAATGGTATTGACAGTGTAATTGTTGGACTGTTACAAACTGAAGGTTAACTGACTGACAGCCATCTCACACGTTCCTTTCACATCATTTCAGAGCCACCCGGCAACAGCAGCAGATTAAGGCATCCCTCTCTCAGATCTGACTGACCAGTTCTTCACTGGAATCCCATTATATACACATGACACTTATGAAGATTTTTTTTAATACCAAGTTTACATCTTAAGGTTAGACAGGGTAGTTCCAAGCTAGTAATTCTGATTTCGTTGAATACTGGCAAAATACATTCTAATAATATGATTCTAACAATGCAGCCACAACAGCAGCAAGTCTTGGTATAATGGCTTTATTGTTGTCTTTGACATGTGGTGCTGCCCTGCCAGCTGGGACAGAACATTCTCCATACGTCACAGGGGTCGGGCATAACCCATGGAAGAGAATGCGCACCATTCTGTACCACGGTAAACGAGAAGCAGCTCCATCATTTCCACCACATGAAACAAAACAAATCGTTAACTACCAGAACCCCTTCTACCTACATACAGAGCCAAAACAAGACAATATTTTTTTCCACATTAATATATGCAATTACTGCTCAGGGTCTCCTGTTCACAAAAACAACGAGGAGATAATTATCTTGTTTTGTTTTATTTTTCCATCTCGCTCTTCCTTGCACACATGCAAGGGGGTTTGTCCAGTGGCCTGGGTTTCTGTGAGCTTTGTCATCTGGAGAGCAGGCAGACTGAAACAGTTCCCCGGGGAACCGGACCACAAAGGCCGTGCCAGTCTTGGGTTTCACCTGGGAGTCGGTTAAGTGCTGGACCCATAAGCCACTGAAGGGGGCATTGGAGAATACTTACATACAGAGGGACTGCTCGTCTGCTCAGCTCCATTCCCTCAGCATCTGCACAGGAGAGAAGCATGATAAGATGCCTTCAATCAAGCATGCTAATAATAATATTTATTCCAAACTGCAGTGAAACACAAACGCGATGCTAAGTCCCTGTTCCCTACTGAAAAAACACAGACCAAATGAAATATGAAGGATAAATTCACAAACAAATGTACTAAAATGCATATATATAGATTATAATAGCAGGACTTGACTTGTTCATCTTGGTTAAACTCAAGGCTTTCAGGGAGCCCTTTTGGTATCGGACTTCTTCTGAAGTCGGCTGCTTTTCTTCATTCCATATTCCAAATTTAATTGGATACAGATAACACAGATAACACAAAGCCTTCATTAGGAGAGACAGCTTAATCTTTTGATCTCCTAAGCATGTCGGGACAAAACATCTCTAATCCCACAAAGTTATCCTTTCTCAAATATTTTCACTTGTAACATAATACCAAGTTCACAGCTCCTCCTTTTCATGTTACGTGGAAAGGTGGGAGAATACAGTGAAGACAGAGCCTGTTAGTCTCTTGTGCAATGACAGCACTAGTCCCCCACTTAAGTCTTGCATCTATAGCTGGTTATATACAAGTCAGCTATTTCAGTACCGAATGTGAATATAAGGGCTCAAAACTACGAACAGCAGGATGATAACAGATAATAGAACACAAGCAAAAGCTCAGGATAAGGAATTAATTTTCAGTGTTACTGCTCATCAGTAAAAAAATGATCAATTTCAATTTCTTGAGATTGGTCTACTTTTGTACAATGTACATATAAATCAACACACCATGCTTTAAACCTAAGTACATTAAATAGTGTAAAACTAGATTTAAAAACAAAATGAATATGCTATCAGAAAACAGCACAGTTCACAAAAATAAGAAGAACGAACCATCAACAGTAAATGAATCTGCCCTTAAAACAAGACAGTCAAGTCTAAATTCATGGATGGCTGGTCTGCCATAACGTTATTATGTAACCGCAATAATTCAGTACCCCCTGAACTTTACACTGTGAAAGTTACTAATGCCCTTCTGTCAGCACGATGAGGATCTGTGTTATGCTTAACTAATGCCCACTTCAGCTATCCTCAGAAGATTGTTTGAAATAAATGGGGGGGGGGGGCATTGTTCCAGAAAAGCCCATCTTTGAGATTTTACTTTTACGTTCAGCTGCGAGGCTGACTCAATTCTTCTAGGGCCCAAGGTTGAGGATTCTCCAAAAATGCCATTAAGCTTGTTTAGAGTATGCATGACAGTATTTACATCTTATAGAGGGTGTTAGCACATAAGCAAAGTCCTTTTTAACAAAAAGCATAAAGAAATGCAAGGACGGGCTCTCCTGCTGACTCCTACATCTTGAGCAGCTCTTTTTTTCAAGGTGCTGAATGGTGTTTGGTCTGCTGGAGTCTATCAGGGTGAAAACATCTGTGTGAAACAATCCTGCCAGTCCGAGGGTGTGTCCCACCTGGCAAATACTGGCCTTTTTTAAACTCGATTTTGAACTGGTGGCTAATTCATAGAGTAACTGTATACTGAAATTGACTAATGACATCAGAAGGACTTCTATGCAATCCAGAACAGTCTACAAGATCTAACAATTACACAAACTTTGAAATGATCAAGTGTTCATTGTTTAATGATACTGTATTTGGCACACAGTTTAGACTTGAAAGACATTTTGGAGCAAAAAAAACCATTTCCAAACGAAATGCATATAAACAGGAAGTAGCTAAACCCAAGTGACTCCAGCATAGCTACAAGTCAAAGGCATTTCACAGCATGCTTTGTTATGAATACCAACTTTTCCTATTTCCTGTTTTTTTTTTTAGGTTTCAGACTTACAGACAAAACATCCATCAAACAAAAGGTCATTAAAGGCCACATTTTGGGTTCCTTTGTAAAATGACAGGGGAGATCAGAAAAAATTCTCACCAGCCGTGATAGCCTGTCGGATACCTCCATGCGCGCCATTCAAGTTCAGCTGAAATTTCCCATTTGTTGCCTGTCCGCCTCTCTCTCTCTGCTGGCCTGAAAACGCTTTCCCTACATTGTCACACAAGAGCCACAACATTCCCTTCCTATTCTTTAGTGCCGTCTTCTGATGTCTTTCACAGAAAGACACATCAAATGCAGTGAAATTTGCGATAGGAATAACTGGCTCAGGAACGCGGCTGCGGCGCTCTGCTTGGGGGGGAACCGGTGCCATGCCCCGCCACTTTATGTCAGTCAGGGTTACTTATCCGTTTATTTAGCTATTACGCTGCAGCAGTCCTTGCATTATCTCCTGTCCAGCCAAAAAAACTCATTTTAATTTCTGAAATCGTCCCTGATTATATATGTTAAAATTCCAAGAATTACATTTGGAAGATGGGAAGTAAGAGAAGCATTGTTCTGATACTGTCTAATTGTGATCACTGCTTTTATATACATCTTTCAACTTTGCGTTCCTCTTAAGATGCTTCTTTTTACTAATTTCCTCTTAAAACCCCTTTTCCTTCTCTTCTCTCTCAATATGCTTCTGTTCTTCAGCCTCCCTCCTCTTAGGATCCTCCCCTTTTTATTCACTTCTCTCTCTACATCCCCTTGAGATCCTTTTCTTTTGCCTGTCGCTTTCTTAAATTGTGTCCAGCTATTTATTCTGAAATGCCAACCAAAAACAATAAATACCCGACATAATTAATACTGATGTTAAATATTAAACGGAATCTGTTACTTGGGCTCAGCCTTTCTCTATTTAAAACCCAGCATTTATTGTATGTGATTCAATAATTTAGAATAATCATTTCATTGCTTATGCAAACCATTTAGTCTTGTACAAAGCAGTTCTGTGTTGATTACAACAAAGAGAACATTTTGGACAACTAAACAATGCACATATCAGAGCCGTTCGACATCAAGCTTGAAGTAATTTAGAGAATAATTTCACACTACACTCCTACGGAACTGAATCCAGTATGTCATTAGAACTGAAAAAAAATCTTGTTTTGGGACCGAACTGAGTTGTGTTTATTCCCATAAAAGAGAGTATTTTTCCTATTATTAATATTATGGTACCAAGTAAACAAGATCTATAACCATATTTCTATTTACACATGGAACCCAAACATCAATATATACAGAGAAGTATTAGCCTGTGACATATTTTACAGTGGCTGAGTGGGTAGCACTGTTTGGGTTTGAATTCCACCTCCACTCCGTGCGTGTTGAGTTTGTGTGTTCTCCCTGTGTCACACAGACTTCCTCTGAATTCTTGGGTTTCCTCCCACAGCTCAAAGACATGCAGTTAGGCTAAATTGCCCATTGTGTATGTGTGCACTGTAATGGGCTGGCATCCTGTCCAAGATGTACCTCTGTCATGTGCACTGGGCGTCTTGGGACTGACTCAAGGCCGAACATAACCCTTCCCAGGATAAGCAAATGCAAGACGGGTGCTTAAAATATCGTTCATCAATCTGTCAAACCTTGCAATATTTTGTTGTCCATCACAAATTAGTACCCATCCAATTCCTCCAAAAAATGTCTTTATTTCAAATATACAGAGAGGGTAAGGCCAGAAAATCTGGGTAATTCTTCTGTCCACTGATTCTGGTTCCTGCTAATCTTGTATCTGGGATGTCGTAACATATCCAGAAAATTTGTAATTGATCTGAATAAAAATGTATGTAGTAAACTGTAAAAACAAGGATGAGACTAAACACCTTGAAAGGAAACATTGAAACACAGCATCAATAATAATATGGACTATGCTTTTTAAAGTTAAGTGTCACAACAGACAATGTCACATGATTAAATACTGAAAAATGCTGGCACATGCTTTCCAGTTAGTCCAGGGCTCAGCTAATAAAAATAATCTTTTATGTAGTGTAGGGGAACACAATGACAGCTGGAGTAAAGAAAACAGAGAGTATGCAGCACAAGAAGTCAAAAAAGGTGTCGGGAAGCATTTTGTAACTTGTGTTTCTCAAGTCTCAGGTACAAGAGTTGTTGAAACAGCATGCATATCTTTCCAGTTGTCTGATACAGTGCAAAACTTGAAACACAAGAAATGGAACAATGGAAATAAGCAATGATCTCCTTGGATCGATATACCTCATGGAACGCTATGTTGCCCGATCTAGACAGACACTTCTTTAGTGTACTTATGTAAACATTTTAGACCTAGCATGCAAGAAAGTTTTTCAGAACTGCTACACACTATATGTGACTAGCTTGCTTACCACAGCAGGAAAACAGTGAATTGCCCAGTATGAAAAATACAGTAGTAACCAACCAGTCATCTGGAACCTACTGACTGTTTATCATTACAGCACTGGTACAATTTTACATCTAGACAATCCTTTTACTGTGTCTGTGTACTATTTAATGTTACATGCCAAAAATGTTTATGCATTAAATTTACATCAAGACAACACATGCTATTATTTGAAGGACTATATTAAAATTTAAAACTGCTTATGTTACAGTATGCACTGAAATGGAACTGCAGTTCCATTGTTAAAACTGCACAAATGACACATCTATAATCTAGTCACTATGGGTAATTCAGCTGGAATGTACTTATTTTATATTGCATGTAAACTGGACTACAGTGACGTGACTTCCAACGTGATCATATTCTGATCTTAGTACTCTTGAACACTCATGGAAATTTTAAATCATAATTACCGTATAACAAATATGTTTTTGTTTTCACTTAGTCCTATACATGTCAACGAAGGAAAGGGTCAACAAATAGGATAGTATTTATAATTATAAAATGGCAGTCTTAACCTGATGGCTTCCTCTAAATTATTTTAACACTGGGTCACTTAGGCAAAAATGCCAGTAAACTGCACCCTTCCTTAATCTTAATAATCATTAAAAACAAGTGTCTCACCCTCATAGACCTTCTGTGGGAAAACTAGAGGCAAACACATGACGCACGTTATCCAAACTCAAGTGTCAAACTTGGCAGACACTGATAATAAACGTTCACGCTAAATCAGATCACTTACATGTAACCTGCTCTGCTAATACACAGAATATGTAGCAGACGAGAAAATCATGATCAACTTAAGAGTCTTACGCTCCGATTACTTTCTTATTAGCGACTGATTCATGACTAGATTACCCTGGGCAACCCCTCTGCCTTGTTAAAGGATAAATAACAATACTGACCCAGGGTCGGTTCCTATGGGCATACGATACCTTCATGCACATAGCGGTCACTTCGTTACAGTATTTGCACTATAGAAATATAAAGAGAGTAACTGCGGGTCAAGGATATTACAGCTACTACTAGAATGGACTAGAGTACATAGTTTAAATAAATAAATAAATTACCTCAGTCCTCACGTCAGACGAATCGTTTCAAGCTATCAGCGCAAAGCAAAATTCGATTTTTGCATCCTTCCAACTTTGACAGTTGAATAAAGTGCGCGCCCCGACCGAGACAGATATTCATGGAAATCTATGGAGTATATTAGCGCATATTCGGCAGCATTTTGGCGTAGCGCTCTTCTCAGGCGGCTCGCACGGGTTTCTGCGCCGGGGATCCCGGGGATGCCGCTCGGCTTCTTCCTTCTCCAGCTTCTCCTTCCCTGCAGTCGCGGGATTCGCTCGCCAGCTGCTCGCGACCGCTGCCAGGTCGCCGGGCGCGCGGCACAATAACAGCGTCACGTGTCCACACGCCATAACCTGAAGGGCTCCGCCGTGACGTGCGCTTAACCCGTTGAGCTCCCCAGGTACCCATGAGCAAAGACACAGGTGTTCTCAAAATAGAAATATACCGCACTTTTCCACCACTTAAAAATTCACAAGTTAAGGTACAAAAAGACAAAGGAAAATGTCTTTCATGGAGAATTCATATGTTTTTGTTAATGTTACTATAGTCCCATAATAAAAGTCACACTACAAGTAATGTCATTGGAGATTTTTTTAGCAGTAGATATGCATCAACAACGGTACCCTTTGTACACTCAAAATAGATAATCTGGTTTCTCTTTTTAAGGCCTTGCTGCAGTGTATAATTTGAATGACAGGCCAGGAGCACAAGGGTGTCAAATTCACTCCACAAAAAGAGAATAATTTTTTTTCCTCCCCTCTCTTCAAACCCTTTAGTCAACGTTGGGTCTTTGATAGGCACTGAACTGCTTCTGAAAGCCTGGTGGGAAAAAGTATTTTAATATTGGTGTGGCATGTTCAGGGTTGTCATCCAGTTACCTTTACATTGTTCCTACGTTATGTATAGAATAAACGCTTCTGCAGAATAGACTAGTCATATTGTTCCTACACAAAATCCAAACTACTTTAGCATGACTTCTCATTTCACTCTGGTTTGTCTTTATGACCTGAAACTAAGCATTACCAAATAATCATATCCTGTGATCAACCAGGAAACATGAACAGATCGGCGCATGGGTTAGGTAGCCTTGATATACTGTATAGGCTATATTGATGCCGGGGCGGCCGTGGTACCCGGGCTATATTGATGCCGGGGCGGCCCTGGTACGCAGGCTATGTTGAGGCCGGGGCAGCCCTGGTATACAGGCTATAAAATGTGGGGGTTGGGGAAGAAAGTCTGGCTCTCACAGGATTGGCCCAATGAGAAAATTCCCAAACTTCCCAATGGCCAATCCACACCTGAATTCAACTAATTATGAGTTTAGAGGACTAATTTAATGGGATAACCTCACAGTGAATAATATATACTGCAAATATGTGAAATAGGCGACGGTAGGTCTGAACTAGATTAAGTTTTGCCATGCTGGGGTGTGGGGTCTATCCCCAACAATACGTTGTACCAAGTCACATACCACAGCAGCCCCCTGGGAAACACCCAGTATGCCAGCTTGCCAGTCCAGTCCTGGGTGAGAGCGGTCAGTGAGGGGTATGTTTCTTGTACATTTGTGGTTAAAAATAATATTCCCAATAGAAAGCTGACAGTGCTAAAATATCAGTAAAATAGCAATAATACCATCTTTTGATATTACCATACATAGAAGCAAAGAAGTTCAACAAAGGAGTAGCCAAGAGCAACTGTCTGCCCATCCATCAATCTTTTCATCCATTCTTTAACCTATCTATCCATCCATCCATTAGAGGGCACATGGCACGGTAACACCATGGATGAAATCCTAGTCCATCACAGACTGTTAGAATTTTGGAGATACCAGTTCACCTAACCCTAACCTAACCCTAACCTAACCCCATGTATTTACACAGCAGGAGGAAACCCTGGCCAGACGGGGAGCATGCAAACTGCACACATATCAAGTGGCAAAGGATCCAAACCCCATGAAATGTAAGATATTTTAATAAAAAATAGACATTTCCTTCTATTGACTTTAAAGGAGCACTACTCTGATAATAGCTTCCATAAATGTAAGCACATCACAGATTTAAAAAAACATATCAAAAGAATTAGCTTAGCAGTTGATCTAAACAGTTGAAATATTAATATTTTCCACATTTTATTAAGATCAAATTACCAAAACAAAAAAAGACTATAAACAGCTGTGCAAGCTGAATATGGTAACCAAGGAGCTCATGTACCAAACTCCAGATTTTAGTGCTTTAATTGCAGAACTAAATCAATGTTGGAAATCCTCTTACTGCCTAACATTGTAGCTTTAAGATTTAACTTAGTTTGTGTATGCAATACTGGAAAGAAAATGAGGGAATAATTACTTCAAGATAGTTTGTGAGATTTAGGGATAAGGTCTTATTTTGCAATTCATTCATACAATCTGAAAGGCATTAACGTTGTGCTACCTTTAATTCTACTGAGGTTAGACGTAATGACAATGTTAAGTCCACACGGACCCATCTATGCAAAACAGATGATGCCAATGATCTGCTTCTTCAGTCGTACAGCGTCACATAGTCAGAGTTATAGCAGGGAAACAGGAAACAACAGAATGACTGCATTAAATCCCCACCCTTCCTGCTTATTTCAGCAGATATAACAAAGTCCAAAGGTGGAGAACCTCCAAAAACTGAAAGAGTACTTTATTTTCCTCATAGCAGAGAAAACTACAAAATATTTTATACTTCATATTCTTTACTCATGGTGCCTTGATGACCTGCCAACAGAGATAACTAAGACAGAATTAGGTGGATATTCAGTAGTTACCCTGATGGTCCTGATTCTTGAAGGACCCGCCCACTTCCAACAGAACACAATGTCATCAGACTAGGCACTCAATCTCAACATAGTTTTTAAATATGAAAAATTCATAATCAGATTTCAAACAGCATTAAAACTATAGTTGAGAAACCCAGTCATTTAAAAAATCTATTTTAAATCTGAAAGATCTTTTGTATTCAAGGGCAATACGTTTGTAAATCTGTCATATCTATGAATGAAAATTAATCTGAACTTCACTGAAAGATCTAGTGTCTCCTTTGCATTAAGCTTTTTTGCATTCCTTGCAAAACTGTTTCTGCTTGAGAACCAGTTAAACATCACAAAAAGTCACAACTAAAGATGCAGACATAAAATGTATTAAAGGAGTATATTAACAATAGATCCAAGGCCCTTACTAGGGTAGGTGGTGGGAGGGTGGATGGATGGATGATGCATTTACACCAATATCCTCATAAAGATTATCTAACAGCTATGCAAAATGAATTTATTTCTTGTATTATGAATCTCCAGCACAGGTCACATTTAGTCCCAGACACATGGTGACAGTTCACCTCCTAGGAACCTAGCCTTTCATCCGTTGGGTGATCTTTGACGACAGCAGCATCCACTGTTCCTCCGGCATCACATAATAGCATCAACAATCAAGGCCTACATTTCTGAGGTAAACAGAAATTCGTAATGCATGACTCCACTAGCAAAAATATTCATTTGTTTTAAGTCAGCATCTCACAATACTAGACAGGCTGGCATCTTTCAATTCTTACATTTGGACTCCGAAGGATAGACAAGACAGCATAGTTAGCCAGCAGAGCAAAGACGAGCCAGACTGAGCAAAGACGACCCAGACTGTGCTGGACTGTTTACAAGAATATCATAGTTTAACTTTTAAATACAGTCAGCAGCTGAGGGACTGCAGAAACTGCTGTTCTGCGATGTGCTTCAATGATTGTCTGACTATTGACATTTTACATTGTATTCCATGGTTATACATTTCTGACATAGTCTCAAAGTAACAACCACAAAACACATAAATATTCTGAATTTCCTTCTTAGGTCCCTAATGCATATAGCTTTTCTTTAGCACATACACAGAATTTTGCATGATATACAAATATTAATCAGTTTTGCTCCTGTTTTATGCTGCCCCAATGATCACATGGATATTAAGCAGTAATTACTTTAACATTACACTTAACTGTGGCAAAGATTAACTTATTAAGCCTCCCTTACATCATTATAAGCCTATTCCTTCCAGCCAGCATCTTAACGAATGATATCTAATTGATTATCCAGATATGTTCCCAAATACAGATTTCTAAATAGGTTGTCCTGAGAAAGAAGTATAAAATCTTGAATAAATTTGATTTAATGAAAGTAGATTATTCATTAATGTATAATCTAAACTCATACAAGTTGCATCACTGACAGTAACACACACACTAAACAATGGTTGAGAAACACTGAACTACACTGCCCCCTTGTGTTAAGCAGTAAAACATTTGTATGAAAGAATACAAACTACCATTTGGCTTTGAGAGAGAAGTTTTACTCTTCCATGACATTTTTAGAAGATGGAGATACATACTTCAAAACACATAAATACATACTTCAAAACACTGGTGCCGATCTAAATACATTGAAAAGTTAGGCTGGAATTTACCGCTGAAAGAAAGATGAAAGATTAAAAAGGAAGAATAAAATACGTCCTTAATTTCCCACAAATTGCAAAAGAATAGACATGGGCTGTAACCATGTCTGTCTCCTAACAGATCTTGACAGCAGACCTCCGAGCTCTGCGTTACTTCATGAAGCAAGTCACTCAGAGGACGTGGAGGATGATGGGAATATCAGGTTGCCCCTACTACCTGGTCCTGCCCACTTCCAATCTCCAACAGCCCATTGGCCGTTCTGTTCTGTTGTGAAGCATCCTTCTTTGTTGTCATGGTGGCAAACAGCGTGTCCAGCATGCCCAAGACCTCCACCAGCTCCTGCTGGTAGTCAATTTCCCTTTCAATCAGTTCCTGCAACCTCAGTATCTGCTTGTCCACCACCGGAGACTGGCCCATCACCCTCATGTAAATATCTGGGCACACAGAACAACGTGTCAGCATCACAGGCACAGCTTCTGCAAGGTCAAAATAACCCACAATGCAATGACAGGTGACAAAAGAAAAGAGAAAAAAAAAAAAAAACTTACCCAAAATCATCTCCGCAACAATGACCAATGTGGGGGTAAACCTGGAATCAACTATATTCCTATAAAACCATACAAATAAATATATAATATAAATCATACAAAACTGAAGGCAAAACATCTGACAACCTATTGCAGTCAAAAACAAATCTAGAGCTCTACATTTTAGAAGACAAAGGAGACGGTAAATTATTTCCTGAAGTAACAGTCACTCAGGCTCCCACTTTCTTTAAATGACTCAACCGTTAACATTGCTGAGGTTCATTCACGTTCCTGGGGACTTCCCTCTCCCAAAACCTCACGTGGGATTAGAGCATCACCAGCATCACAGAGAAGGGATAGCAGACGATGCTTGTATAGTAACTGAAGAAATGTAACCACCCCCAAGAAATACTAATCATACAGTGAAATACTAATCATACAGTGAAATACTAATCATACAGTGTAACAGAGTTCATCTTCTCATCCTGGGTCTCTGGTTCAATGCTGCTCCAGCTCAATACAGAAAAGACCAGCTGCAGCCTTTCCTCAATACAGGAATTCGGGGTGAAGAATCAAACTAGGGGAAATCACTGTTAATACTTCTTACCCCAAGCATCAGCTTTTCCAAAACTCACCCTCCTAGTTAACAGATCAAAAGGACTTAACCAATTCGCAACTCAGATAGGAGCCTTCCACATGCCATAGCTCAAACTAACTAGAAATGTCCTGGACTATAGTCACTGGTGCTACTGTACATATGGACTTTGTGTGTGCACCCCGCTGTAATGATGTACAGTGTACAGTGCATAGTAATGTGTATTACACCATTCATATTGCAATGTTTTGATGATTTTTCATGGGTTGTACCACCTGGCATGTGCAAAAGGATTCAAACAAAGAATTACACCAAATTAAATGTAACTTTTTTTAGTTACTTAAATATCAGATTTAATAGTTTTCTTACTCTGCTCAATTGTTCAGACGGATGCATTACCTGATAGTTTTGGACTTTGTGATACAAAAATGTAGAAACTATATTGTTTGAATGTTTTGAAAACATATTTGCATTAAAGAGGTTTCATACAATAATGTTAGGAATGTCCTTCCCCTGCGTGTTCTTAGATTCCCTGTATGAAGGCCTGCACTCCTGCTTTCGACCTTTTAGGCAACCAATCACACACTTGTTGGTCATGGTTGCGAGTGGTGATATATGTAGCTTAGTTAGGGTCCACGGGAGCCCACAGTTATCTTGGATGATTCAGTTCAGCTTGGCTAATCTGACTCTCCAATGGCTTTGAAAAACTGAAACAGCTGGATAACTGTATCCATGATTAGACAATCCCAGATGAGTCTTTAATCTTGGAATTTTTAAACCACATACAAAGAATACTCCCTGATGTGCTGAGTTTATTTTGTCCAGGACACTGCAGGTGACAATTCACCAAAGCAAACTGAAGTGCCCTATGAGGACGCCGAGCAGGATTACCCTATGAGGACGCCGAGCAGGATTACCCTATGAGGACGCCGAGCAGGATTACCCTATGAGGACGCCGAGCAGGA